TGTTTGCTTACTGTGTCCTAGCTTCTTGTTTTATTAGGATATGCCCAAATAGGCTGCTCGTATGAGCTAGTTTGGTTATTGGCACCTTTGAAGCTCTAATGTCCTGTCACTAGGTGGTTAGATCTGTTACTAGGTATGTGAGCTCAGGAGTTTGCCCACTCCTCCTGTATGGATTCAGCTCAGGTGCCCAGGTAGGTAGCCACCAGTTGTGTGTGTAGGCTCTCACTTACAGTCCTAGACATGCATGGGTGATTGGTGTAGGCACAGGTATCTGGCTGCAGCAGGGGGACACACTCTGAGCAACGCAGGGGGCTGACGGCCACCCCCAAGTGTCCAGGAGGAAGGCATGTCCCTGTTCCCTAGAGCACGTAGGTGGGTGGGTTTTGCAGCCGGACTATGAGCACCTAATGCTGTTGGCTGTAAGGACTGGGGGGCACCTCTTATTCTTGGGCCCCTATCGCAGGTGTCTAGGTGGCATGGGTAGAGCCACCAGTCCTCAGGCCCCTGATGTCGGCAGAGCAGTGTCAAATGTCAAGTGGGGAGAGCATTGTCAAATGTCAAGAACCTGCCACTTCACAGCTGAAACAGTTGAAGTTAGAGTTCCGGTATATACCCTGTTGTACTGCAGTAATGAGGGCCTCCACTGTTGAAATGGGCCCACACAAGTCTCTACAGGGGGAAAGGCTCTCAAAGTCCGTGCATCCCTTATGCCTGTGCCTAGGCAAAGGTGCTGTGCCTACCTTGGGTTCCTGGCTTAGAGGAGTCGGCAGTTTATTTTTTCCCCTCTTTGTTAATTTGTTCACGCTCCAAGACAGGGAGAATGGCTCCGGGCTTGTGATGGATTCTACTTCTGGCCCAGGGGACTCAGCAATTGCTGAAGCCAGTCCAGGGCCCATTGCAGAGAAGTGAGCGGGGAGGTAAATGGGAGAGAGATTTTTCCCTAAGGAGGGTGTTTTTGATCCACATGGTAGGCCGTATGCAAGTACTTATCTTTCTCTGATCCAAGGCTGCTTCTCAGTGGTTCTGGGTGGCCGTGTAGACACTCTGGCAATGGGTCTCTCCCAGTGCGGAAAACGCACCTCCTAAGCACTGCTCCTTGCGTGCCTCACCTCTCACTCGTGCGCTGCTCAGGCCCGAAGGGTTCAGGTCTGGCAACTCCTCACTGCTTCCGAACCATCTCTCCCTCCCCCTGGCACTCGGTCCGGTTCCTCAACTCTGCCTTTGATGTTCAGGGCTCCCAGATTGCCACATATAATCAATTCACTTGTTTTTTTGGGTCTTTGTTGTAAGAGGGTCCACCGGAAATGTCTGACTACTGCGCCATCTTGGCCCCGCCTCAGGATCTTTTTTAAAAGAAAAGAGCATGGCCGTTCTGAGTGCTCGGTCATCGTAGAGTTTTCTTAAGAAGGGGTCTCCTGAACAGGTGAACCCTGGAAATTAATCTGTCACTGGAAATTAATCAAATATGTAGTATAGGAAAATAAAGCGCATCCATATTAGAAACAGAGCACTGTGTAAATAGCCCTTCCTTTAAAAACCACAAAAACACCACCCATTATCACCTAGACAGAAATAACAACGTAAGTTGTCTTAAGACAATCTGGTAGGAGTGTTCAAAACACCAGATTTAGATAGGCGTGTAATAATTTGTGTTGCAAAAAAAATTTCATTTTACAAAATGATCTACTACTATGTTTATTTGAAATAATGAAGCCTCTACTACAGTTAAAACATTCAGTTTATAAAAATTTGATTGAATTTCCTGGCTTTGATAATGACTCTGGTTATGTAAAACCTTACTTTTGGAGGAAGCCAGGTAACATCTACACAGGACCTCTCTCTACTGTTTTGCAACTTCTTGTGAGACTAATTATTTTAAGGATCCTGGTGGTGCAATGGTTAAGCACTTGGCTGATAACTGAAAGGTTGGCGATTTGAACCCACCCAGTACCTTCAGGAGAGAAAGACCTGACGATCTGCTCTCTTAAAGATTCCAGACTAGGAAACCCTGGGGGGGCCGTTCTGCTCTGCCACATGGGGTCACCGTGAGTCGGAATTGACTTGACACCACCTAATAACAACAACATAATTATTTTTAAATAAAGCTTTTAAAAATTATATATACCTATATATGTGTATGTGTATATATATACACACATATAATGTATTATATAGCATATTCAGGAACCTGTCTATTGGGGGAAAGGTACATCTTTGCTGCATGCTCAGTCTTGATGGTGACTTACACATTCATACCTCCCCTGGTGTTTTATCAAACAATATACTGGATCTAGAAGACCACACCGCCCAAACCCCATGGTCGCTGACAGCTTCAGTTGCTACATCTTTCTTCTCGGGGGTATCAACAGCAGAAAATGAGCTCATTTTTTTAAGTCATGTTTTCTTGTCTCATGACCTAGAAAAGGAGCAAAGATGCCAAAAGCAAGGAACAAAAAGGAAAGAAATGGGATCAAAGACCCCGAATGAGTAATCTGTCTTTGTGATATTACCCAGGACCCAGTTTATCTATCTTTTCTCTTAAGTTTAGCAACTGCACTTGATTATTATTATATCACTTTAATTTTAATTATAGTTAGAGTCAGTGGTGGAAGCAGTGACAAAAGTTACAGGAAGTGATTAAGGAATTGAACATATACGATGAGGTATTAAAAAGCAGAAAGTAATTAATTCCTGAGTTCGTTCACTCATTCAAGAACAGTTCTTAGCTCCTGACTCAATCATACATTGTTGGTGATAAAGTGATGAACGGCTGTGTCCTGCAGGTGTTTACGTTCCAGGAAGCAGAAAGACAATAAACCAATAAACAAGTTATTATGTGATATACCATCAAGTAGCAGTAATGTTATGAAGAAGAATAAAGTAAGGTAAAGTTATGGAGGAGTGGGAATCAGAGATTTTTTTTAATGCTTAGGATGATGTTGCTTTGATAGCAATAGGGAGAGAGAGTTAAAGCATCATAAATTTAATGGACTAGGGTCGCTATGAGTCGGAATCGACTCAACGGCAATGAGTTTGGTTTGGTTTAGCAAAACCAAGAAAATGATTATTCCTAGTGACATGGCAGTGGAACTAACTTGATTGGTGTATCACTTTAATCCTGATTCTAGTTAAAGTTAATTTCCCCAGTTTTTCTTTCATACATTGCTGGCAGTCTGTGATTTGAACACTTATTTTGTAAAGCAGTTATGTCCTTTGACCCATAATACAGTGATTCTCAAGCCATCAGACCTAATTTCTCCATTGTATAATAAATATTTTATAATGCCTCTTTTACTATCTTGAGATGAAATCATGGATAATATAACCTATCTGGAGACAGAATTTCAAGAATTCAAGATGAAACATCAAGAAAATAAAGTAATGTCAAGAAACGCAAGGAAAGTAATTTGTAGTAGGTAAACACAAAACCACAGGAAGTTCTGATGGTGCCTGCGTCTGTATACATGCTTCCTGACCGGTAGCCTCACGTGCACACTGAGGCCCAGGTTATGGTGGACCAGTCACAACCAGGAACGTTGCCGTGGTAGCAGGAAAGGAGAGAAGGGCTGAGTCACTCATGCACCAGCCTACATGTCACGTGTCACCACACATCCGATGGTGACCTCTGACTTCAAGGGAGCAGGGGAGTTGTCATTCCATAGGCCTGGGAGAAGGAGAACCAGAAAGCTTTGCTCTAACTGAGGTCGGCTCTGGCCTCATAGTTGCCAACATGTGTTTGTCCACATGGCATTCAGCAGGATGTTGGATGTGGCATAGTCCTCCTAGACTGGAACTGTCCTGTGCATTGCAGGCAGGGCTTGGTCACCAATGCCATAGAGCTCACCCAGGCAAAGATGCCCCAGCAAGTTTCCAGTACCCCATCATAGGCAAGGTGGCTCTCCTCGTAGGATTTATTTTCAGGTAATAATTCAAGAAAACAACAATGCTATTTGTCTGACTATATTGATATCAAGGTTGTTAATAATAGTATAAAATTGGAACCAAACTAAATATCCAACAGAATGAAAATGTTGAATTAGCTATGATTTATCCAAACAGAAGAGCATCATATAGCCATTAAACAGATAAATGGAGTCCCTGAGGAGTGCAAATGGTTAACACACTCAGCTGCTTGCAGATTGAAAGGTTGGAGGTTTGAGTCTACCCAGAGTGCCTCAGAAGAAAGGCCTGGTGATCTGCTTCCAAAAAATCAGCCTTTGACAGCCCTGTGGAGCATAGTTCTACTCTGACACACACATGGGGTCGTCACGAGTCGAGGTTGACTAGTTGGCAGCTGTCGGTGATGGTGGAAACAGATAAATAGAATCCTCCACGAGATGACATGCATCCTGTTGACTGAAAGGGTATTTAAGATTTTCTATAAAACACTCACATATATGAAACAGAAGAAAGTATTCTAAAATTGCTAGCTGTATGAGGATGAATCAACATTATTGTGACTGAAAACAGCAACCATTTCTTAGCTTATGATTCTGTAAGTCGAGAATTTGGACTGGGTGCACACTGCCTGTTTTTCTGCTGCCCTAGCCTGGGCTCACGCATGCTGTGGCATCAGCTGGGCCTCTGTCTCCAGGAGAAATTTTTGACAAACTTGGAAAAGCATGAAGTATTTGAGCCCCAAATTATAAATGTAAAGCTGCTAAGAGAGGGGATTAATGGAGATTGCTTCGTGTGTGTATTTTCATAGTCTTCCTCAAGGGCCTACCTGACCAGAGACCGTCAGAGATAGAACACATCAGCCAAGGAGGTTTCAGCTAAAGTGTCAACTCAAGTCAGTTGGTCCCAGGACCAGCATTGGAGGTTGATCCCAGCATCAGTGGGAGAGAGAGCTGTAAGCAGTCAGGGAAGTCGGCCACGGGGGAGGGATTCAGACTGGGGGGACCAGCACCACACATTTGCCATGGGGAAATTGAGGCTCCTGGAAGGATGAGGTTTTCACATTTTTGAGAAGTGACTGACAGTGATAAACTCTGTGACAGGTTGTGGTGCGGGAACTGCTGGCTCAATATTCCAGACAGTCTGAAGAAAGACTGCTTTTTGGCCTGCTTCAAAACTGGACTGAGTCCATGGGGGACAAGCTGAGAACCAGGTACATATTGCTCAGGTTGTCACTGTCCCCGGCTTTCCGTGTCTTATCACTGAGCCTGAGCTTTAGAGCCTTGTCATGCCACAGCTTACTCTTGTTTGAATTTTTTTATTAAGTAATATTGGATACATACGAAACTATGTACGAATTATATATGCAAAATCAATGCCCATGCACCCAATTTAAGAACTAAAACATTGCTGATTCTATTCTAGAAACTCCTGCGCCGTCCCTGCCATGTTCACTGTTCCAAGGACTTTACAGTTTTAATCCCCAGGAAAACCCCGTGAGGCAGAGATACTGTTACTGTTTCCGTCGGACACACGAGGGAGCTGAGGCGCAGAGGGTCACTGTTTTGCCTCAGGTACCATGGCTGGTGCGTGGCAGCGCTGGGATTTGAACCCACGCAGTGTGGCTCCGGATCGATGCTTTTGGTTGTTGGTGTTGGTTTCTTGGTGTCGTCTTCAAGCTTTCTCAGTGAGACATGCCGTGTGTGTTGCCTTCACTTCCTGTTGTGCTCAGCATTTTGTTTCTAAGAGTCATCCAAGTTGTTACCTGTAGTTGAAGAGCTGATCTCTTTGCTCATAATAGTCCACTATGTGCAAAACCAAAAAAACCAAACCCGTTGCTGTCAAGTTGATTCTGACTCCTAGCGACCCCATAGGATTTCCAAGGAGCAGCTGGTGGATTTGAACTGCTGACGTTTTGGTTAGCAGCTGAGCTCTTAACCCCAGCGCCACCAGGGCTCCATTATGTGCGTATGCACCATGTATTTATTCATTCTAATCGCCAGTGTCAGTAGGCATCTGAGTTGTGTCCAGTTTTTTGATATTTTGCACAAGGTTATGAACGGTCTTGTACGTGTTTTCTGGGGAACACTTAGAAGAGTTTCTACAGGTCTTTCAGACATGCTTGATGTAACTCAGATTGAGAGATACTGTTTCCATCACTACTGACACTGTCAGTTTGCAATCTGTTGTTTGAAAAACACGCCTCTGGGGCTTGTGCTGCCTAGATAGGAATGACTGTTTGTGGAGTATGCCCGTGTTTAACTTTAGTAAATAGTGCCAAATTATTTTTCAAAGTGGTCGTACAAATTTACACCCCCACCAGCAGCTTGTATCCTGTGGAGCCACGGTCTCACCAAAATTTGGTATTCAGTCTTCTGTCATCTAATGTAAAACAGTGAAATCTCACTGTGATTTTAAACTGCATTTTCCTGACTTCTATTAAGGTCGAGCATACGTTCACATGTTTATTTACCGTTTGCATTTCATTTTCTGTAAAATTCCCATTCATGTCTTTTGCCAATTTTTCTATGGTCCCCCCCCCCTTAATTTAGTGATTCTTTATCTTTTATTACTGTAGATGTTACTACTACCTTCTCCAAATCTGTGGCTTGTCTTATACTTTCTTTCTGGTATCTTTTGGTGAACATAAATACTTAAATTAGAAATGAATTTGTCAATTTTTTCTTTTACAGTCAACACTTTCTGTGTCTTGTCTAGTCTGATTTTTCAGTTTGAGGGTTTCATTTTTCACCTTTAAGTCTTTAATCCATTGGAAATTTGTGTCTGTGGTGTGAGGAAGGGCTCACATTTCATTTTTTCTCCCTTAGGGATTGTCAGGTTTTCCCATACCTGGCAGTTTTCTCGAGTCGTTTACTGAATTAACTCTCCTTCTCTAGTCGTCTGCAATGCCTCCTCAGGCATTTACTGAGTTTCCATATATGCATGAGTCCATTCATGGGCTGTCAATTTTGTTCCTGGTCTGTTTGTATATCCTTGATCCAACACTATACTTGACAATTACCCTAGCTTTATAATAAGTCTTTTTACATATTCAGAATTATGTTGGCTGTTCTGAGTCCTTTGCCCTTCCATATACATTTTAGAATCAGTTTGTCAAGTTCCGCAAGTAAAACAAAACAAAAAACCCCTGCTGGAGTTTTCTTTGAAAGCATATTAAATCTATAGATTGATTTTCAGGAAAATTGATGTATTTATAAAACTGACTCTTCCTCTTGGTTTTAATATTCTAAGTGTCTTCCAGTGTTTCCAAACTACTCGTACATTTTTTGATAGATTTGTTACTAGACACTTTATAATTTTGGTTGCTGTAAAATGTGTGTGTTTAAAATACGCTTTTTGTAGTCCCTGGTTTATTGTAGATGCAGTTAACTTTTGTACAGACGTCATATAAGCAGTTGTCTTTACACATTTTTCTTCTGGTGATGCGTCCATAGATGCTGCGGGGTTTCTCTATAGAAGACAATGCATGTACACATGGTGGCATTTTTCTTTCTTTCTTTCCAGCTGTTATTCTTTTTGCTCATTTTGTATCTTAATGCGATAGATTGAGGGCTTCTGTTCCATCCCATCAGCAGTTGCATGCTATCGGGTTGTCCTCCTGTTGCTGACACTAAGTTTGACACCTTGGTCAAGATGGTGACCCCTAGATTTCTCTATTGGAAAAGTACATTTTCCTCTTTGTCAGTAAAACGTAACTTATGGGGTGACACTTTGATACTTTTACAGTGTGTTGTTCTTCATAGCCGTTCGCTCGGTGGTTTTAGTATCTGTTGATGGCTGTTTGCCAATACTGTCTTTCTTCTTCTTCTGTAAGGAAGGGCTTCACCTTTTTATGTCCTTTTCCTCTATCTTCTCGCTCTTTCTCGTTTCGCTGTGTAATAATGTGTATTTACTATTATGATTCTTTTTGTGATGCTAAACCTGAACTTTGGCCAGTGAGGGCGCCTTCCAACCTGCCCCTCCAGCGTCGTTTAAAAAGAATACCGTTGGTCTTTGCTTTCTGGCACAACAAGATATCCTCGGCTCACATTTTGCTCTCCCTGTCCCAGACCTAGAATCCATCTCTCTGAGGGGTCTGGTGCCTTTCAATGAGGAATCGTGTTTAGAAACCGAGATTTATGTCTTAACTGTGTTCATCGTTACTGGGGTGTCATTGCTTCTAGGCCTTCCCAGGGAACAGAACTAAGATATTTATTGCTAAATCTAGAGTTCATACTGATATTTTCAGATCACACTGAACATTTACTATGCTTTCTTCTTTCTTTTATTTTATATTTACATTTCTTTTCTCTTGCCATGCAAATCTTGGCCCCTAATAGCATTAATTTATTTACTGAATTTGAATTATTCCTAATATAAATAAGGTGCCCTGTGGCTCAGTGGTTAAGAGCTTGGCTGCTAACCAAAAGGTCAGCAGTTTGAATCCACCAGCTGCTCCTTGAAAACCCCATGGAGCAGTTCATGAGTCGGAATTGACTTGACATCAACCAAAAGCAACAACATATTTTTACTTGTTGGCCCTGTTAGTAATGGAGAAAGTGTGTTGAAATTTGCCATTCTGAGGATGAGTTCATCAGTTTCTTCCTATAGTTCCTTCCTCCTGTTTCCATGAACGTGTAGGTCTTATATTTTCCCGATAAATTGACCCTTTTTTTCTTTTACCCTTATGACATGATCCTTTCTATCCCTAATAATGTTTATCTTGAAGTTGATTCTGCTTGATCTCAAGGGACACCCAGTCCAGGCTGGGAGATAGGCATGTATACATGCAGATGACAGAATGCTGAAAAGCAGTAAGGTCTACAGAGAGAACCTGTGGAATGGAGTGAGGGAGTGTCTTGGGGAGGGGTGAGGATTGTGAAGTGGTCTGTTGCTCGGCAGCAGAAGGATCTCAGCGCACGTGGGCTGAAGGCACGTGAGGGGTGAGGGAGGCAGTAGTGGAAGCACGAGGAACCAGAGATAGATCTTCTCCCGGATTCCGAGGGGCCACACCTCCTGTTGACTAGGGACTGTCAAATGCCCTTAAATGAGCGGGATTTTCCTGATGCTGCTGAGCTAGTTGACGCTGAAGGTTTAAAGGATTGAAAAGAGATGCGCTTTGAAAGAGTTAAAGGATTCAAAGACGTGGAAAAAAAGGGATGGTGCTAAAACTGGTAGTAGCCACAAGTGTTCAGCACGTTTTGAATGCCAAGCGCCACTCTGTATGCTCCGTGTGCCTTGTCTCGTTTTATCCTCACAACAACCCTTTAAGGTAGGTTCTACTCTAGCGCTCATTTTAGCGCGAGGAGACCGAGTTCAGGGGTGAGATAACAACTCAGAGCGGTGGCTCCAGAGCCTCGGCTCTGAGTCTTAACCTTGACTCTACAGGAGACACTGAACACGTTGAAAATAGAGAGGACACGTTTGCTACTAAAAATGCCTAGCTCAGGTCTACGCCTGAACGTGGCACTCATTCAGTTACTGATGAACAGATCTGAGTGTGAGAAGGGGGTGTGGAAGCATGGGTAGCTGGAGGGTTGACAGGTGGGTGATGAACATTTCTCAGTAGCCCAATCTAGAGTAGCCTCTTGCTTAGGAGGCCGAAACATCTGGAGAACTTGCTGCCGATGGCTTAACTGTGGACAAGGCTGGGGCCGGGGTGCGAGGCAGGGAGCGCCAGGGTCCTTGCTTCCTGGCTATTCATCTGTTGGGGTTGTTAGGGAGAGCCGAGAAAGAAGGAGAAGCCAGCAGTTGCCTCTTCTCTGAAGGAGGCAGCTGCAGTAGCAAATGAGCTCAGCAGTCCATCCCCAGGGAAGCGACGGGACCAGCCGTGCAGCTCCTGCTGGCCCTTCAGTGAGCAGCACTTTCTCAGCTTTAGGGAAGTGCTGTGGACCCCAAGGTCACTGCTGGGAGCAGGGGCCCAGTGTGGACTTCCCACCAGAATCAGTTCCGTCCTTTCAGGAAACTTGCTACTAAACTGGCCGCAAATCATCTGCCCTTTTATTTCTCTTCTGGATAAGAAAGCAGGACTTTCTATCATTTTGAAAGCCTGACAGGCTGTCACCCATATGCAAATCTATATTTCGAGCAAATTTTCCAGAATAGATTTGAGATATGCTGAAGGCAGTATTCCAACGGTAAATATTTGGAAAGTTCCAGTCCATTTATTTTTGTCTCGGTTATTAACCTCAAAAACCATACACACATCCAGAC